CTCCCATGAAATCATTGACAAGAAATGCTGTTCAGCGACGACAACACGCTGAAATAAGTGACACCACGCGACATGTGCGAACGATCGACTTGCAGACGTGTCAGGTGATGTGAGGAATTGATTCACACAACCGACCGCTATATATGCTTAACTACGCTTTCCAATGCCATCCGCCACTTTTCGCACTTCTGCGCATTGTCGTCATTCCCACCATTCAGTTCATCTTTAACACCCCCTGCCGCTTCGGTTCGTCCACGCCATCGCCTTTTTTCCCTCTTCATCTCTCCGTCACTCCCACCCTCACAATCCGCCATTCCCGAGACGTCAGAAGATCAAAACGCGTAGAACAGATAAAAGTCGTAGTAATTGTGGGTAAGTTATGCCACCACTTCCACCTTCTCCTCCTCCCACTTCCACCCTTCCTGCTTTCCTTCCTCATACATGCCCAGTCAACATTTCAATACTGGCTCATCTTTTGGTGCAGTCATTTCGACACGTGCAGGGACAATTAGGTGGTGGTTTTGGATTAAATTTCTAGTCACCATGAGCGATGCAGTAAGATCACTCATCATCCAGATTCTGGGCCTGCTTAACTTAGACTGACTCGACTTTAGCGATCGCATTTTAAAAATACCTAATCCATTTGATTCAAGGTAACTAGTATTTTAGCATTCTTTGCTTCTCCCTTGAATGAACCCCTTTCATGGACGCAGCAAGTTATTTTGCACCACATCCTATCCGCATGTTTTCTTGTAGCACACCTTTGTGAAAAATGAGCCAACAGGAGTTTTTTGTGAAAGGGAACAAAAAAGACTAAGTTTGAGATCCTTCTTTTTCTAATGGCAGCTTCATCCATAGGCAGACCTTTCTAAGCCAAATTTTGAGGCATTGAGGCTGCATCATCTGAGTTTGTTGACTAGACCCAAAGTGCACTACCACCACTACGGATAAAGCTAAGTCACCAGTTAAGCCATTTGACATCTTGATACTATATCGTTGAAAAGTTGTCTTAGTGTTTGTCACATGACTTAGTCACTTCCGACACCATATCACCATATAAGGCACAGGATACTTGTAATTTATTTTAAGTCTACTATTCAACTTACCTTTTCAGCCGATCAATCCTAATATAGCCTTATCTGCTTGACTGTCGGCTGTCAATGCCCTTCAGCTGCTAGAAGTTGCTGTGGACATTATGCGAGAAGAGGAGGAGAAGGCGGCATATGGGTAGAGATATAGAGAGGAAGATAGAAGGATCTGAAAGAAGTTACATTAAGGGAGCACCGTTGTAGCATTTTCCAAAAAAAGAGTCGGTCATCATAGCTAGCCTTAGATGTATGTTTTCCCATTTATTTCCCGGCAATGTAAGAATGCACTCCATTAATTTAATTGCTAAAGTTGTTCACTAAGTGTGAGCCGATTCTGCAAATGCAAGAACCAAACAGTGACAAGACGTAGTAAAGCACAAGCATTCGCATCAACATTAGGATTAATTGTACCTAGTTTTTGCCAACAATCAACTCTGCATCCATTCATCCTGTATAAATACTGGCTCATGTTGGTGTGCAGTCTGTCTGCATACAACAAGGTTTACCAGCTCTTTATGCTTGCAATATTTTGTCATCAAGATGTATGAAAGCAAATCTAACGTTGAACCACAAGAGGCATTATTTGGGGAGAGAGGATTTGAGGGACTTCAAAAATCTCATCTAACGTTGCGCTTTTACTTTCATAAGCACCAAATAAAAGGCAAAATGAACCTGTTTGTATATCAATCTTGGCTCCAAACATCCCTTCCCTCAACATCCATTAATCTCCGTCTTGGAAACCCATAGTCATTTCACGCGTCAACCTTCAGTGGGAGTTCAACAATATATTGTTGTACAGGAACCTAATTCAAAAAATATCAACCTTCCATCTGCATTCACAATATAACATGCGGTATTCAGAGATTACGGGTCATTCTAGGGTGCTACGTCCCTCCTACCGAGGCAAGCATCGTCCTTCACCATGGACGAATCATCAACTGATTGGCTGCCTAGCAGTAAGGAAAGATGACATCATGCCCCGAATAGGTTGAGGAGGGTAG